TGTTACAGGTGTGTTGTTTAATCAGAAGTTTTATATCAAAGGTTGAATCTCTTTCTCACAGCACGTGATGGACCGTGAAAACTCCACTCGTTTACCTCACATGCAGGTTGACTATATTGATGGGATTTGCTCTCCGCTCTATGAGGTGAGGGCTTGCCTGCACACATCCTGTTAGAAATGTGTGTCAGTATGTGTGTTTAAGTGAGTAAGAGACATTTCTGCTGCATGCCTTTGTGTTGCAAAAGAAGCATTCAGTCTGTACTGTTTCTGTATTTTTCCTTCTTTTCCAGGCCCTGGCCAGCATTTGTGAGTCCTGGTCACCTCTAAAAGAAGGCTGCAGAAGGAACAGAAAACATTGGCAACAGCTGGCAGATGGCGGAGAGGAAGAAGAAAGGATAAAAATGAAAGGAAAAACAGATGGAGAAAGGGAAGAAGCAAGTTAAAGCTATGTAAACTCTTGGTGAACCACTTATAGAGTGGACCAGCAAGACTCAAAGTCTTATCTGATATTCAGATTATTACTTTATATGATGAAATTAAAACCATTAAGCATGATAGCAAGATATGATTTATAGCCCTCACTCTCTGGCTGCCAGTCAACACTAAAGCAAAGAAAACAAGGGAAAAGATGAAGAATTGAACTAAATAGTTCAATAATATGAAAGAGATGTGATTAAATACACACTCTTGCATTGTTGGTTTACCTATATCAACGCTGGTATACCGTAGTCCAAAAAAACTGGTCATGCCCATCTATACTTGCCATTCTTGATTTTCAAATGAGCCACAGAATTTATGTGAGAAATATCACAACTTACTCAAGAGTAGTTACTGGTTGGCTTTGTCACACTAGTGAATCATTACTACATAATTTTATAGTTAATGAATTTTAAATCAAAACACATGTCAGCATTTTGTGTTAAAGGGATAGTTCACCCAAAAATGAAAATTCTGTCATTAATTACTCACCTTCATGTTCCAAACCCATAAGACCTTTGTTCATCTTCGGAACACAAATTAGGATATTTTTTATGAAATCTGAGAGCTTTCTGACCCTCTATAGACAGCAATGTAACTGAAATGTTCCCAGGCCCAGAAACATTCATTTTTGGGTGAACTATCCCTTTAAGCTGTTTAGACAAGGAAGCACAACTTTTATTTTATTTTATGGAATAATGTTCATGTTCATTCCTCAAAAAAGGATTCATTTTAATTAAGTTAATGTGCTGGTAAAACTGAAAAGCTAGAAACATTGTTTATGGAGGAATTTCTAACAATAAAGTGTTTTATTATAAAACATAATTAATGTCTGTTATGTTTTTTAGAGCAAACTAATATTGTTGTCTTGGTAACACTTTAGATTAGGGAACACTATTCACTATCAACTATTTGCTTATTAGCATGCATATTACTAGCATATTGGCTGTTTATTAGTACTTATAAAGCACATATTAATGCCGTATTCTGCATGAACATATTCTAGATCCCTTAACTCTACCCAATACCTAAACATAACTATTACAACAGCTACCTTACTTACTATCAATAAGCAGCAAATTAGGAGTTTATTGAGGGAAAACCCTTAGTTAACATTGAATGTGTTCCCTAATCTAAAGTGTTATCATTGTCTTTATTTGATTTATTGCTATCCACATTGTCTATTGCACGTTGTCCTGTTAATCAAAAATCACAGCCATGAATATTTGCTGTAATATGCTGAAATGCTTGTCATTGTTCAACGTGCAATGAAATTAGCAGCAGATAACGGGGGTGTGCCTGACGGTGCAACAGAATGGTGTTTTCTCTTGATGTGGTCACAAGTCTTCACGTGACCTGTGGCAAAATGTGCAGACTTGTGCATATACATGCTTGCCAGATCTACCTTTCAAACCTACTCAGTACATGCAGGGCAATGCTCTGGGAGACTAACAGCAGAACAAGTTGCTTGCACATAGATAAAAACCAACTTTCACTTTTTATAGAACGTTCAAATCCCCTTCACCATTACCAGGGAAGTTTAACTAAGTTCTAAACATAATTTGCATTTGTATTAATTTTCATAATTATAACTAATGGAATGAATGTTATTATAAAGTGAAAGACACATTATCTATGAAATGCATTATATAGTGTTTTCTTCCTATAATAACCCAAGATCTAGTCAAGTCACCTTTATTTATATAGTGCTTTATACAATACAAATTGTGTCAAAGCAGCTTTACAGTGTCAAACAGGAAAGTAGTTTGTCAATAATGCAAGAGGACAATATCGTCATTTTTTTTCAGTTAAAGTCAATTCATTGATAATTCAGTGATGTCATCATCAGTTCAGCTCTCTTCCAATAGTGCAATCAGTCAAGCATCCCCAACTAACCCTAACCATATTCGAGAGTTTTTAGCCATCGCTCACTATTCTGATTTACCAGACTGTGTACTGATAGAGTTTTTCTGCGATGGCATAAATCAACCTCTTAGGGCTAAGCTTAGACGCGAGGGTCCACGTTCATCACTCGCTCAGTTTATGGATTATGCTTTGTTGACTGTCGGATCTTTGTTTACTGTGGGTGTCGCGGAGGAAGAACGCGACACAGTGTCTGTGACTGAAATGGCAGCTGTACCAGAGCACGCTCACAAAATGGCGGCGACAGCGGAGCCTGATCGCAAAATGGCGGACACAACAGCGCCCCGTTATGTCACAGCTGATTTTCATGAGTCCAGTCAAGTCACAGCTGATCTCCCTGAGTTCAGTCAAGTCACGGTTGATCATCATGAGTCAGGTCAAGTCACAGTTCATTATTATGAGTCTAGTCAAGTCACAACAGATCTTCCTGAGTCGAGTCTAGTCACAGTCGATCGTCACGAATCAAATCAAGTCACAGTTTATTATCATGAGTCTAGTCAAGTCACAACTGATCTTCATGAGGCAAGTCTAGTCCCAACTGATCGTCATGAGTCAAGTTTAGTCACAGCTGATTTTCATGAGTCAAGTCTAGTCACAACTGATCGTCATGAGTCAAGTCAAGTCACAACTGATCTTCATGAGTCCAGTCAAGTCTCATCTGATCTGCCAGAGCCTCGTCACATCACAGCTGATCATCCAGAATCACGTCGCATCACAGCTGATCATCCAGAGTCCTGTCACGTCCTGTCTGTTACACCCAGAGTATCAAGGTCAGTTCTTCAGTATCCCAGACTGGCTTCCAGCGTGGAGGACCCACCGCTGGTGTCGGCACGTGCAGCTGGCATCCCTAAACCAGCGCTCTCAAGCCCTCCAGTTTCTGAACTATTTCCCCTGTCTGTAGCGCTTCCCACAATGGGGATCGCTTTATGGTGCATCTGGGCCGCGTAGTCCACCGCCGATTTGCTAGAGGCAGCGGCACCGGCTACAACATCTCCCGAGGTGGCGGCTTACGCTGCAGAACCTCCCGAGGTAGCGGTGCCCGCTGCTGTGCTCCCAGAGGCCATGGTGTTCGCTGCAGTCTCTTCAGAGGTGGCGGCGCATGCTGCAGAACCTCCCGAAACGGCGGTGCTCGCTTCAGCTCCTTGCGTGGTGGTGGCGCCCAGCAACGCACTTTCAGCCTGTCCTGTCACGGCCTATGAACAATGGTCCTGTCTCAACCCGGCCGCAGAGGCTGTCTGTGAACATACGTCCAGCCCTGAAGCGGCCATGCAGGCCGTTTATGCACTCACTTCCTGTCCTGTAACGGCTATGGAGGCCATCTATGAACTCCTGTTTTCTCGGTTTCTGATCTGTGCCTGTTTTCCTGGATTTATCCCTTTAGTCTCGCCCTTGTGATCCTGTTCGCCAATCGTTGACCTACGCTAGCCCTAGGACTATATTTGTGTCTTGCCCGCCATATACCTGTTTGCTACTGTTCGACCCTGCCTGTGTTTCTGACCTCCTCTGATGTTAATAAAGCTTGCATATGAAAACTTACAAAAAAATCAGTTTTACAAGTGCTAGATTGCTATCAAATATTGCTAGATATTGCTAGATACATTTTTAAGAAGAAAAAAAATCAGTTTTACAATAGCTAGATTGCTATCAAAGATTGCTATCAAATAGCACACCTAGGTTCCTAACTGATGACGAAGAATTAACAGAGCAGCCATCAAGTGTTAGACAGTGTTTTAGGTTATTACATGCAGAGGTTTTTGGTCCAATAATTAAAACCTCTGTTTTGTTTTTTTTTTTCAGAATTTAGCAGTAGGAAATTACTAGTCTTCCAGTTTTTTATATCAACTATGCATTCTGTTCGTTTTGCAAATTCATTTTTCATTGGGTCGCGAATAAATATAAAGCTGAGTATCATCAGCATAACAGTGAAAGCTAACACCATGTTTCCTGATAATATGTGAAAAGCAGCAGTCCTAGTACTGAGCCTTGTGGTACTCCATACTGTACTTGTGATCAAGACCCAAGAGTGAGAGGAAATCCTGTTTACAACAGTTAAACCTTATTTGGTCAAAAAGAAGTGAAGTGATCTCCAAGCCTTATATTATTTATAAATAACAGTTTTTTTTTTTTTTGTTCCAGTGAAACACTGCTAGCCAGTGTTAAAAATGAATCACAAGGTTTTTTGGAAGTGGTTGAAGAAGAGAGAGCAGTTTTATTTATCTTTTATATATATGTGTGTGTATATATATATATATATATATATATATATATATATATATGATGTTGTGAGTTTGGAGAATCCTTTTAGCAAAGCAAAAAAAAAAGAAGACAAAATTAGTAAATATCTTAAATATAAAAAACAAATGCTGCAAATTAGTACAAAATAATTTTATTAAAAAATATAATAAATAAATACATAAATATAAATACAACACTCAACACTTATGTGAACAACACTCAATATTGAACAAACTGTTTTAAACATAAATAAAAAAGTAGGACTGTGCCCATCGGTACAGGTTAAAATGTCAGATGTGGCCATTCCATTCATATCTTCATTCTCAACTTCACAGATGACCTTGACATTCATGGGGCTTTGCTGCAAAACAAAAAGGTATTTATTTAATAACATGGTTATTTCCTTGACAAATATGATGAGACCTGATACTTGTACTTTTTTATAACTTTGGACATCTCAAACACATGGTGAGGATTTACTGACACTTACTTGGCAATTATCTTCTCAATGACCTTCTTAACCCAGGGTGCAGCAGGGTCCAGACAGATCTCTTTCCCAGATATCTTCAGGGTGGCACTGTTAAAAATAAGGAGAAAACCCAGTAAGAACCCTATTTGTGAAGTTACTGCATTAATCTGGATCATTATGGATTAATTCTGAGTTTGTAATTTGTAAGTGTTATAGCATTACTAGTGTGAAACTCACACAATCTCTGTGTCTTTACAGTGTGAGCTTGGAGGGAAGAGCTCCACACTCTCTATCTGTTTTCCAATGCGTCGACTCTCAGTTTCAATGCAGCGACAGCGTGGATCTACACCCAGACCTCTATGACCCATTCCTGAAAGCAAAATAATAAGTTAATGTTTGATCACATACATGCATGACTTAAAAGTGCATTTGTACTAACTATGGTTAATGATTACCAAGAAATATTACCAAATATTGCAATTCACTTACCTTCACCAATGGTCAGGAATCCAAGGGAAATGATAACAGAGACTAAAAAGATTTTGCAGTGCATTCTGTCCAAGTGAAACTTTGATTTACAAATGGAAACTAACAAAAAGTAAATCTAGTTTGGTTGCGAGATGCTAGAGGCGTTCAGATCTGGTGAATAATGTCCACATTGTGGAACTTGCAGCTCTTTTAAAGCTCCGTCCTGGATATGAGTCAGAGAGTTGCGCAATATTTCGAGTCTTGAATATTTCAGGCTGGGAAAGTTTGTGCTGATGTCACGAGTAGGCCTATGTGAGTCTCAACATGTCATTCATACGCAGGCCTGGCGCCAGAGGGGGTA